TCGCCGGATGAAAAAGGTATAATTTAAAAGAATGGTAGACGGTTGTAGGTTACTACCAACTCTCCCAGCGTTTTCCTGTACTACCAAACCACAAGAAAATACACAAAAAAGTCTTGACAAGGGATCTAGAGACTTTCACTTTCGTGGCTAACACTTTCTTTATGGTTAACATTTCTTTTTTCGGCTAATGGTTAAAATTCTCCAATTTTCATGCCTAACGGCTAAATTTTTGGGCCCGGTTTACGGCTAACAGCCAACCCCGTTGAGACCCTCTTATGACATGTGATGGTCGAAAGTATAAGCACTAGGTTTAATAATTCTTACTCGTTTTTGCTCTACGATCTAAAAGTCCCAGTTATCTTGTTGCTCCAATCGGGAATTTGAAGCTCGTTTTAGCTGTTGATGTATTCTGTAACTAAAAGCGAAGTCTGCCATCGGTCCAAAGATCTAAAGAGGCACACACGCCGCCCGAGTTCATTCCCTTTCCGCAGCAAATACTGACTTGGAGGACTGGTACACAGTGAATCCTCACACTCCACCCCCTTCAAGCGTCTAGCATTTACGTCACTCCTCAGTGAATACGCGCCGATGTATTTGTCTTTAATTGTTGCTAATTAACTCTGAAGTTCCGGCCAAACGATCGCAACATGTCAACACAACATAGTCCCAACATTGTTGGCCCAGCATTTGCAAGCTCCGGCCAAACGTTCGCAACTTTTCAGCCCAACTAATCGCAGCAATGTTAGGCGCAACATGTTGCGCGCGTTTGGCCACCTTGTTGCGACACGTTGGGTATTGAAAATCGAACTATTGCGCATGCCCGGGTGTGACATTGTTGCACGAACCTGGCCAAACGACTACAACATCATGCAGCATCCACAAACGTTGCATGAAAAATTTGACCATTTTCAAATTTGAGTCAACAATACCCAACATGTCGCAACGTGGTGGCCAGACGCGCCAAAAATGTTGCGATATGCTGCGTTGAAATGTTGCGATCGTGGTGTGAAGGCCTGGGAGAAAGCTGTACAGGAACTAGGCAAGGCACAATGCATTACAATACGTATCGCAGTAAAGCTAATGTGGGCCACCAGTATTGCACTTCAATAACGAAGTCAGTTGTATTCACTGCTACCCGTTCAGGTTTTGATTTTGTGAAGAGTTGACTGAAGGTTGTTGCCTGCGAGGGTATTTGTCCGTCACCCACCGAAGATCCCATCTTATCAGTGAGCAAACGATGCATGAAAGGTTAGCTCGGAAGAAAACACAAGAACTTTGTTGTGTAACGTATG